CGACAGGTTGGTTTTGATTTTGGGGTTTTTCGGCGCAGCAGCATCGGGGCCATAGTGCGCCAGAAACATTGTGTAAAGGAAGCCTACATTTTTTTAAGGACTGACTAAAGCCTCAAAGCGGACCTTACTAGGAACTAGACTTATAATTTCCGCAGAATATTAGTTTCTTCGAAAAAATGGAAAACTTGTGAGACTAGGACAAGAGGCTCGGCACCCAGTAAAAGTGCCAAGTGAAATGGTACATGTTCCCGATAGAATATAGAAAAACAGGTTCGACGGTCCTCTTCAAAGTGTGGACAAACTATCAAAATGTGAAGTATACTTAAAGGAGCTGTGCAACGATATTCAATTGGAATGTTTTTCTCTCTAAAAGAGCTTACTGGCACACCTGGGACTCAAGGATGCTCACACGCAATGCCATTGGCCAAGAAACTCCTTTGTTGCGGTGTAATTTCAAGGACAAAAGCGATCATTTTCATTCAATCTCTCCTTTGCAAAATTTGATGACGTAACTCGGGGATCGCAGTACACCCAAGTGACGATATTTGAATGTGGTTCATAGATTGGACCCGAGCATTGCGTGGGCACTCGAATTGGGCTCGTGACAATTGCTAGCTCGAGAAGCATTCGGGTTGTGACCCGTGTCCAATCGCTGAAACGACGACAACAGCCGAGCCATAACAATGTCTGGAACTCAGCGCGTGTCCTGTGCTTTGCCAACCCCAGCGCGTGGCTATGATCTACATTGGCGGCATATAATCGGTTCCAGATCACGTGGCCGCTTGTTCTGGCTGCGAGTTGAGGGGGTGAACGCTGCTCGTTTTTCTTTAATTTTTTTCTTGAACTTCTATTGCGTGGGGTGAAGAACGAACGCGTGTTTCATAGGTCATTAGCGTTATGGATCCGCTTTAAGCGGTATTTGCGCTAAGTACAAAAATTGTTGCGTCGCTCCTTTAATGGTTCAGAACAGAAGTCACAGGTCGGTTCACTCTCCCTACGCAAGAGGTAGCTATGGGTAAGGTGGGTATGTCCTATTCTCAATCGGCATAAAACTATCTCATAAAAACGCTCTCGGTGTCTGGCACTGCGCCACTCGCTCAGGATGGGCTTAATCACATGGAGTTTGTTTTGCAGCTGGGAATCCCATTCCCTCTGCCAGGCGTATTTTATTTGCCTTTTTAGTGGTACTCGGTAATCAGTAGCAGGGATGCTGTTATGGTCAACTGTCTTATCTACACACGCAGAAGCTGCACGGTCAGCTAGCTCGTTGCCTTCAATGCCAATATGGCCAGGGACCCAGCAGAATTCTATCTGTATTTTCTTTGCCAGTGCTTGTGTTCTATCTGTATTTTCTTTGCCAGTGCTTGTGTTAGTGTATTACAAAATTGCACAAGCAGAGGGTGCTTCCAAGATGTTGGAGAGTTGAGTGCTTTCAGTGAGCTCAGAGAGTCGGAGAAAATGACAGACTTTCTATATCGATGTCTGACAATGTGGTCAACTGTAGTTATCAGACCATAAAGCTCGGCAGAAAAATTGAGGCATTTTCGTTTAACCTTTTTACAGATCTGTAGCCCTCGCCAATAGCAGCACAGCCAACATAGTCTGTGGTTTTTGATCCATCAGTAAAGAAGTGCTTGTAGCCATTGTACGAGGTACACAGCTCTAGGAATTCTTGCCTGAGAACACTAGGGTCAACTGTATCTTTTTTGTGCTTGGTCAAAGAAGGATTACAACAATTATTGGCAACTTTCCAGGGTGCAGGTCTTTGTTGAATTTCAAGGACGGGAGAGAGAGCATCAAAATTGTATTGTTCTGTAGCAATTCTTACACGTAGTGCAAAGGGAGGGTTATAGATGGTTTGTGCTGAAATAAGCGCTCATAATTTATATTTTTAATTATTTCATAAGCAGGATTTTGCGGAAAAGAACGGAGTCTTAGAAAGTACTGAACAGCGAGAAAAAGTCTACGTCTCTCGAGCGAGCACTTATGCGATTCAGCGTACAGGCTAAGTACCGGCGACGTACGGAATGCCCCCGTTGCCAAACGGATCCCCTGGTGGTGAATAGGATCAAGCATCTTGAGGGTGGATGGCTTCGCAGATCCGTAAACAAGGCTTCCATAATCCAGGGTAGAGCGCACTACAGCCCTGTAAATTCGTAAGACATACCCTGTCCGCGCCCCAGGTGCGATGTGAAAGAACTTTTAAAATGTTTAGTTTCTGCTGGCATTTCAGTTTCAGTGCCTTGATATGGGGGCCGAAAGTAAGCTTGCTGTCAAACGTCACACCGAGGAACCTGTGTTCCGGTCGGACGGGAAGGGGTGTGCCATTTATGTGAAGCGATGGTTCGGGAAACATTCCCTTTCTCCGAGAGAAGCAAACAGCCTCGGTTTTCTCAGCAGAAAGCTTGAAACCATTCTCATCAGCCCATTTACTCATTTTATTAATGGTTACTTGGATTTGGCGCTCACAGATAGCTAAATTACATGACGAAAAGCAGACCTGGACGTCATCAACATAAAGCAAGTAGGAGACCGAAGGTGGTACTGCTCGGGACAGAGAGTTGATTTTAATAAGAAAGAGGGTAACACTCAGGACACATCCTTGTGGGACTCCATTCTCCTGGATGAAACGTGACGAAAGGGTTGTTCCCAATCGCACCTGAAAGGTGCGATCCTGCAAAAAGTCTGCGATGCAATTAAACATATTCCCGTCAATATTCATCTTGATAAGGTCTTGAAGGATACCGTACCGCCAAGTGGTATCGTAAGCCTTTTCAAGGTCGAAAAATACTGAAAGGCAGAACTGCTCGTCTATAAAGGCCTCTCGGATGGCCGTTTCCAATCGTACGAGGTGGTCGGCAGTGGACCTGGCGGCACGAAAGCCACACTGTAAATTGCTTAAAAGAGAGTTCCGTTCAAGAATGAAGATAAGCCTATTGTTAACCAGCCGCTCGAATGACTTTTTTCAGGCAGCTAGTCGGGGCTATAGGCCTATAGCTGGAGGCTTTACTTCTGTCTTTTCCCGGTTTGAAGATAGGGATCATCGCAACAGGAGCATGCTGCTCCTGTTGCGATGATGGGGCCCTTAGGTCAGCCGCCAAGTTCTCAGGAGAGGCCTGGGTGGCCCTAGTCTGCAAGCGTGGTGCAGGGCCCCTGCGCACCACCTCCGTGTAACCTCCTTTTGAGGGGAAGGATAGCTTCTTCTTAGCGTCCAAGTAGGGGATATTCTCCTTTGCCTTGAGGGAAAGAATTTTGTTTTCTTGACAGCAAATGGGACAGGTGCGGGAGTAAGCTGGGTGGGGCCCACTGTAGTAACTACAGCGGGCCGCTGCCTCACAGATGTCAACAACATGTTCCAGGCTTACACATATCGCACAAGTTTCTTTCCCTCGGCAACTGCATGACCCATGCCCAAAGCACTGGCAGCGGAAGCAGCGTTGCTGGTTGGGGACATAGGAACGGGTACAACACTTCACAGTTTCAGGAAGGGTCTTTCTCTTAAAAGTCAAGATGACGTGCTTTGATGAGGTTTCCTTGCCATCCTTCCGGAACATGATACGTTTAACGGCGACAACACCGGCATATTCAGTCCTTCCAGGATTTCTTCCTCGCTAGCGTCGAGGAAGTCGTCTTCAGAAAGGACTCCGCGGATCGTGTTGAGCTTCCGGTGAGGACTCGCGGACATCTTGACGTCGACTATGCTGGTTATCTTGGAGAGTGCCTCACTTTGGACTTGCGTGTTTACTTCAACAAGAAGGTCGCCGGAGTAAATTTTTTTTTTGCTTTGTATAAGAACCTGATGAGGTTTTCTAGCACCTTGGCTACCACAAGGGGGACAGTTTGGACACTGGTTTGTCTTCGAGGTTCGAGTGGATCACAAAAAAAGCTTTGTAAATGTCCCCATTTCAGGGGCTTCCCCATGAGTTGCTGCTCAGGGCGAGGCCTCTTGGAAGCCTGCCTTAAACCGGGTTTAGAGAGAAGGGGCGCCATATGAAGGGCAGAAATTTCGGCATCTAGCGGACCACCCACCACGGAATCCAACGATAGGATAGGTAACATCTCATAACAGTTCTGGCTTGTCTCAGTATGTTACTATACCAATGCTACTAGGATGTTGTAACCGAGTGTGGGTCAAGAGGGAGTTCTGTTGCCACCCAAGGTTAGCTGTGGCCGCCAAAGAAGGTGAAATAGGAAGGAAGATGATAAGAAGAAGGTTAAATATAGGAGAGGAGAAGCAAGGCGACTGACTCAACCGTCCTGGTCAGGCCAAGCCGTCTACGAGAAGCAGGGGCCGAAGGTGTATATTGCCCCGCCCCGGATGGGGGGGGGGGGGGGGGGGGGAGGGGAGAGGGGGGGGCGGGGGGGCCGAAGGGTTCATACGTACCCCATGCTCAGCTCAACAACCAGGATCCCCTTTTTCCCGGACACGGGTTAAGCCACGCCCAGCCAGACGTGGGGGGGGGGGGGGGGGGCCGAACCCACAAGGCTCGGGGTTTGTATTGACGCCACTCACCAAGCACCTATTAAAGCCCGGCGTGCGGGTATGATGGCCAGCGTGGCTGTGGTCCGTGGTGACGCTACTCTCCAAACACCTCCTTTCGTGTCAAGGCATTTTTTAGCTGCCGCGGTGCTGCACTTCTATTCTGCTGCAGGGACACCCCCTCGCGTGAAGGATACAGTTGCAGCACTAAGAAATATAAGCTAGCCTTGAAAACGTGCCACAATAGTTGACGCCGAGTAGAGGCATTTTCACTGTTTTCAAATCGACGGCCCAGCGTGCGACCCCACAGAGCGAACGTATCCGTGGCTTCGGAAAGCGAGCAAAGCATGCGGCACGTATAGGTAACGAACCCAGAAGATGGCAACGGCCAGAAGCCCTTTTCTGGAATGGTCTTAGAGCCGGTGTTGGTCAAGGTCGCGATTCGATTTTGATGCGAGCTGTTCTGACAATAAACAAATATAAATTCTTTTTTTTTATTATTGGGGAATGGGGTGTTTTGGGGGAGGCGGAGAGTGGACGTATGAGGATGGGCTCCCGTAGGCGGCGGCCTGGGGAAAGGCAGAGCGCGGCTTTTCGGCCCGGTACTCGTCGGGCAGCTGTTGAGCGTCGGCGGGGGCCACGAAGGGCGCTCCCGACGCGCCGGGCGACAGGGCCAGCGACGGCGTCGGGGTCGGCTGGGACAGCAGGCAGCGGTAGTAGGCGTGCTGCAGGGTGGTGGTCACGCGCACGTACTCCTCGACGATGCCCAGCTGGCGGCGCAGCTCCTCCAGGCACAGCATGATCCGCTCCCAGTCCACCTTGTCGTCCGTGACGCGGAACCTCACGCGAGTCTGCGTGCGGGAAGCCAGCGCGCCTGGTTGCCTATCAAGATATTCTAGGCCAAGTTCCTTTTATCACCTAGTGGGGTACTGCGTAAAAATCGCACTTGTTTCCATAATTTTTACTCACTGCGATTTATCGTTTTTTTGCGTGCGTTTTGATTTGTTATGTTCGGTTTGGTGCAGCTTAGGGTGGTTGTGCATGCGTTCAACGACCGGGCATCCCGTCGAATGATGCGAGTATTTGATGTTCAGGGAAGCGACGTGGCTGTTTCACGCGACGTCGTATAGCGATATTATGAGGTTTGCCCCACCCGCTACGCTCCCTATAAAACTTTTCTACGCGGGGGCCGCCATCTTGAAACGCGGAACTTCCGACAGGCAGGAAAACATTGTTTTGCTCCGGCCACATGACTGGGAGAAGCTCAGGTTTTAATCGCGACTATATCTTTTTTTTTGCTTTTTTTAATATATTTTTACTTGTTCTAAATTGTAAAGCCTTGCTTTTCTTATCCCGGATTTCCCAACTTCGTGGCAGGAAACGAAGGTATAGGAAAAAAAAATACTTTTTTGATGTTATGGAGAGTTGTAACGTCAGATGCCTCCTCTATCCTTTGGTGCGTGACGACGTTATGAGATCGCCTTAGTTGTGGAACTAAGGCGGAGGGGGGTACCACCCCTCACTCCCTTCAGACCGCCTCCCGCCGTTTGAAGCGCCATCTTTCTTGACTTTCGTTTCAAAACTGTGTGTTCCATAGAGTACGGTGTAACGCCATCTAAACGATGTGCTTCGAATCGTGCCTATTCCATAGACTACAGTGCAGTTACTATAGCAGCCGCCCCCCCCCCAAAAAAAAAAGGGGGGGAGGGGGGGGGGTGTCGAACGACGGGAGGCAAGCAGCGAGGAGAGGGGTGGGGTATTGCTCGTGTGCAAGCTTAGTCTATGGGCAGTTCCGTAACTGAGCTCATCTAATAGCGTTGGTGCGTGATCCGCAACGTGCTGTCTTGAGAGAACGTGAAAGTTACGCTTTGTGATTCAGAGCCAGCAAGATGCGCCTCCCGTCAGTCATATTTAGTCCAGCTGCTTGCACTCCGCCAACCCCCCTTCCCCCTCCCCCCCCCCCCCCCCCCGTTTTCCGTTTTGGTTCCCGCTGAACCGCTTCGTAAATGTAATTAATTACCTCAAACAACATTTAGGTATAATTAATTCACTTCTATATGATTCAGTGTAAATCACTATGCCTCCAGTATGTTTTGTATACAAGGTGTCACAAGAAAAATTACGAGGTTTTTCTTTTGCCGCAAAAATAAACTATAGGCATCGCTGAACGCTCATCCTCCGTCCAAAGGTCGCGCTAGGGGTCACAAAAAAAATGCCAAAGTTTCAGCCCGATCCGATAACTTATTCAAAATTTATTAGTGATTTTTTGAAAATTTTAATGGGAGGATGGCGGCCCACTGAGTTTTCGTATACATGGGTCTCTATGGCACCAGAAACAGAAAACGGGCCAAAATAGGCTCCATTTTCCCATTGAAACTTTCAGAAAATCACGCATAACTTTTGAAGAAGTTATCGCATCGGGCTGAAACTTTGGCATCTGGTTGTGACCTCTAGCGCTACCTTTGGGCGGAGAATGAGCGTTCGGCGATGCCTAGTTTATTTTTGCGGTGAAAAAAACCCTATAATTTCTTCTTTTTTTATTTTTTGACACCGTGCACTTATGTAAAGCCTGGCAGTATTGGCTATGTATGCTTGATGTGGTCCTTGGCGGGCTTGTAACGGTCTCTCGTTTTGCTTTAGTTTTACTAGTTTCGCTTAGAATCCAGCCTTTAAAGGGATGCGGAACCGAAATCTGGATTCCACAAGGCACGGTGGCAAAAGCGTGCTACCGGGATGTTAAAAACAACAAAACATAACTCGTACAGCGATATCTCAAACAGATCACCGTATTTTTCAAAAAAAGGAGCCGCATTTGACAGATATATGGACGTCTTGTTTCTCCGAGAAGAGTCGAGAAGGAGTGGGAAAGGCCTCGCGTCTTGTACGCCTCGCCGCCTTGAGGGGGCGAAGCGAAGAGGAGAGGAAATGAGATTTGTTAACATCACGCGCCTCGTCGCCTCGTCTGCGTCGTTCAATTTCGACCTCCTTTTCCGAAAATACGGCCGGCCACTCGAAATATCGCCTCACGAGTAGTGTTCTAGGGATTGTAGCGTCCCGCCTACAGCTCCTGCATTGTTTTCTGAAATCCAAATTTCGGTTCAAGATCCCTTTAAAGACATTCTACGTGAACATTTATATGTATCTTTGTCCTACTGATCAGGGCGGAAGTTTAAATGCGCAGCGTGTTGTCAGGTGCGCTGGGTCTTGCTGAATTTGACAGATGCTGACCCGAAGACCGCCAAAGTTAGCGGATGGTGGTCACGTGATGTCATCAGATAGACGGGGTTACAGTATGTTTATGGTGTCACGTCGTGGCGTGAGTGACGTAACGTGGTCACCTGGTTGGAGTCACGTGTTCAGGTAATGCTATGACAGCGCGTGACTACCAGCTAGCTGATAAGGTTAGGTGTCTACCGCCCCGCTGACGAGGTCACCTGCCCAACGTCCTCCATATGATGGAAGATTCTTAGCACTGAAAGTTAGCAACTCCGCAACGTAATAAAGCGGACATGGGACGTTTTTTTGTAGATGTCTCAAGGCGCCACGTAATGCTTCATTAGAGGATTCCAACCCTCAAATAAATACCGAGCTCAATGAACGCATAGAAATGTTTAGGGTTCCATGCTGTTAGAGGAATGGTTGCTAAATTTAAACTTCTTGCTGTAGTGCCGACGTTTTGTCTCTAGGTCACTTGAGATCGAAATATCTGTAACAGTTTACGGGAACCCCGCGCTGTACTGGCACCTCCTGTATAAGTTACACTATTCCTGTGGGCTGCGAACAGTAGTAGTGGCAAGCGTAAGGAAGAGGGCAAAGAATACGGGTCGCTGCCGTGTGGTGGAGCCAAAGAAGCATTCGCAAACTTGTTGTGCGGTGAAGCCCAACGCAAGCTACGAAGCAAATAACTCGTCAGCGATCAACTGGCAATACTTACCTCCTTTCGTCTCCGCTTCGCATAAACTCTTCGGATTGGCTGAGGTGCCTGCCTCTTCTTTAGAAACATGCTCGGAACTGCTAAACTAGCAACCATTTACTGAAGATAAACCTCGTCTTCTTCCTCATCCATTCGTTCCGAGATATATGACTAATGGGTGTGGAAGATCTTAAGTAAATGATTGTTAGACCAGCAGTGTGTTTATACTCTTTCTCTCTCTCTCCCTTTTCTTGTTTCTCCCTGCATTTAGCTGGCATCTTTTAGAAGCTTGAATCACCAACTAGCTAAGTATCGACGGACGCACGACGCACAAAGCAGACGACCAAGCGTTCGCGCTAGTTTGCACTGCATCAGAGCCTCCTGGTCGCGATTGATTATGTTTCGGTATTATGTCGCACCGAACTCACTTGGAAACAAGGCGGCCACATTTGTAGAAACATTGCACAAGTTAGAAACCATTTCTTTTTGTAATAATAATTCAAATACGCTAAAATAAAAAAAAAACATTCAAACAGTCGATTGGAGGTGTCACTAACCCGTTCGTGCGTGTCGTGGGATGGAGCATCGGGCATCGCGTAACTTATAACCCGTTCGCACATCTCGTGGAGAGAAGCCGACAGGCATAGTGTAACTTAAATAGGAGGCACTGGCTGTACTTGCAGGATCTATCTGCATGAATGTCACAATTTTGGCATTCAGCCTCAACATCGTACTTCTAATTACTAGAAAGTGGTGATGAATAGATTTTCAAAGATAATTTCGTGCTGTCTACACTTCGTTTATCTTAAGTTCAGACGAAGCCGATGCTACATGCGCTGGCATATGACCCTGCACAGTGCCATAGCCTCTTTTATACTGACAAAGCCTGGCAGATCGCCTCGAGAAGCGGCCACCGAAATGGAAAAGGTGGAATGCAGACTGATGAGAGGAGAGCCACGTGACTGGCGCCCCGCTGCGGCGAGACACCGAATCACACTTTTCGCAAGCGAACAAGTGTGTTTCGGGTCCTCACCGCTGCAAAAGTTGTGCGCTGACATCCAGGTTCCCCTAAAGCCCCTCTATCCTGGGAAAAGTGGCGCCATTCTTTGAACTAGCCGCTTCGCACACTATTGGCCGGTCGTCCCGTGACATCTGGCTTTCGGTTTTTGACTTCCGGTCGCCATTAATTTCCAAAGATGTTGCTACGCCGCAGCTGCCGGGCTGTTGCGTCTGTAGCGTTGGCTTGTAGAAAAGTCGGCCGGAAAGCTTTCCGTGTTCTCTCTGGAACGGAAGATGAACCTCGTAGGAAGATTCTTCTTCACCGAATCGGTCAAAAAGATTTCAACCCGACGGGAGCCGCAAAGTTATGCGAGGTGAGTGCTCTCTATAAAGCTCACCGCACGCAAGAAGAGAGCTGCTTAGAGCGAGTTATGGACGCCATTCCACCGTAAACGCGAGCGATGTAATAGCGAGCACAAGATTGCCAACTTGGCATGCACGGATGCCCGTGCCGTGGAAGTAAAGGCCCCTACGCACAGTTGCGTTTGAGAGCGTTTAACTGTGTTGCGTCGAGAAACGAAAGTGATTGATCGTCACACCTGCGTCCTCGCAGTCGCAACGCAGTGAAACGCTCTCAAACGCAACTGTGCGTAGGGGTATTTGGTCGTTCTAAACGGTGTGCTCATGCTCGAGCTTGTGGCATTGGCGTCGCTCCCAATTACTAGTGCATGCGGAGTACGCGCTCTCGTCAAGTGTTGCGTACGTGTTCGCGTACCATACTTTGTTTCGCACACATAGCTTGCAACGCTGCCGCGGCTTCGGACCCGAGCTTGGGGATGTATCTATGTTCCGTTTCAATATAAGTGCGAGCGCAGCCAGTGCGACAAGCACGAGTATGTTTTCTCCGATGACGCTCCTACTGGACGAGCGTGTGTGCTT